GACCCAGCTTCAGCGTCCCTGATATTAGCTAGGAAGTTGCTTGCATGTCGTCTGCATACATCTGCCTAGAGGAGGGGGTGGTGATGAGGACCCAAGCCCCTTTTTCCCACTCTTGGCGAGTTTGGATATCCGTCGGGCCGTTCCGCGCCCTTACCGCGGTCAGAGTGTGCGGGCCGCACCGGCCTGTCCCGCTTGGGGGACGCCTTCACCTCCTCGGTCGCGGCAATAGCCTTCTGCGTGGAGACTCCCGCCTATACCCTTACAGACCGCGTGGTGAGGGCGGGACCTGAGCAGGCAGAGGACCGACGGGCGACGGACCGGGCGGGGCCTGCGTGACCGTCGGGGGCAGGCTGGAGTCAGCATGGGCTGGAGAGGATTGACTGACAGGGCAGGACATCGGGGGCGGATCTGCGGCTACGGGGCTGGCATCACTGACACGGTGGGACGCCGCTGGGGCGTAATCTGGTGAGCTGGAGCCCGGCCTGGAAGACAGTGAGGGCGGGGCTCGGGAGGAGAGGCGGTCGTCGTGCGGGGGCGGGACCAGAGATGACCGAAAGAGCAAGGTTGGGGCCAGGGCGAGGGTTTAGAGTGGCTTGTGTAAGCAGTGCCCGAGTGACTGACAGGGCAAGGGGTGGGGCCGGGCTGAGCGATTGAGGAGGAACCTTTCAGGGTAGAGGCGAAGCCAGCGGTAGGGTGGAGTCAGAGATAACTGACAGGACACAGGGCTGGAGAAGGCAGAGCGCTGGGCGACCAGGTGGAGCCCCGAAGGAACAGAACACGACTGTCCGAGGGATGGATGACGGCACCTCGAGGCCTAGGAAGGAGGAAGGAGATGCGGGACGTGGGTTACATAGTGTGAGTGACAAGGCAAGTGCCAGGACCTAGAATAAGAGCCGCTTGTGGGTGGGGCGAGAGGATTGACATCTTGAGGGCGGGGATTAAGGGCCACGAGTGACAGCCAAAAGAGGTCGTCCTCAAACAGCGCCCCTGCAGTTCTGCAAGGAATTCCCCTTCCGGCTGAACATCCAGAATGTTGCTCATTTCGTGCCCCAGGTGAGGGAAGGATCGCTGATGCAGCCCCGGCGGCCACCAGCCGGACCCATCCCTAATCCCTGCCCTCTTCTCTGAAGGCGTCTGTCCTGGAGTGGGACCGGTGCACAGAGTTCAGATCTGCCGAAAGGAGATTTCCATCTTCCAGGCCATTGGTCTCGTTCCATCCCAGCGAAATCCAGCCCAGGGCGTTCGCCTGTCCATGATCGCGCTGCGGGGTCGTTCCCTGAGCCGGGAAACCCACCCTTAGCGGTCATCCCCGTAGCAGCTCTGGTTCGGCACTGGTTCTGACCCGGTCCGCCTGTCCACAATTGCATAAGCACTTTTTGGACTGGCCATGGAGCTGGGGGTATTTGCGCGACGTCCTCCGAGCCTGCGCTGCCGCCTGGGCACCCTCGTGCTTGCGCTGCCTGTCGCCCCGCAGGCCTCACTGTTCTGGAGTCACAGTGCCTCAACTGAGTCCGTGCGTCAGCTCGAATTCTTGCTGGTGAGCGGGATAGGACTTGCCCTCAATCTGGACCACGCCCTCTCTGTTCACTGGCTCCGCCCCCGCCCAACTGGCCCCATCGATTTAGTGCCTTGTTTCCCTCCGGTACTCTGTCCCGACCCTTACACTACAGTCCCCGCCCCAAGGATGTGCCCCGCCCATTCCTACCTTCCCCCGCCCTCTCCCAGGCTCCCACTACCCTCCATCTATGGCCCCGCCCCTGCATTTATTGACCCCGCCCCTTCTGTCTCAGACCTCCTCCCCGAGTTCAACCGGTTCTCGGGTCTCCAGAGTGTCTGGGGGTAAAGGTCCGTGACGCTTTGTCCAGCACCTCTTTGTAGTTTCGCCTTCGAGTCCTGCATGAAGTCTAGGTCTTCCTCAGTACCCCCTCTGGGATGGGGGCCCCGAGGTGGGTCCTGCGTGAATCCTGAATGGGGGTTGGGGGCAGTCGTACCAGCAGGATGTTGAGGCCATGACTCATGTCCGGGCAGAATCTCGGGGGCTCTCTGGATCTGATCAAGTGAGTGAGAGCTGGGGGTCAGAGTCGCAGGGCCAGCAGGAAAGGGACAGATCTCTCTCACCCCCTATCCCTGCCGTTTCCACAACCACAGCCTGCATTCACATGTAGGGCCCATCGCAGTCAGTGGCCTGTAATACCCGATCCCGAGCCCCCTCCCCTCTATGCCCATCAAGTTTCCCAGGGAAGACTCCTTGCCTCAGAACCCCTGAGTGGCCTGCCATATGAGAGACTCTGACTATTCCCACCTTTAGGACTTTCAGATACTGGTGGAGGCGGTGCTGCCCTATGTCAACCTTGAGCAGTGGGGGCCTGCCTCCACCCCATCCCCCTCAGCTTCCCCAACAGATGTTCCTTATCATAGCATCACCCGCATCTGGGACCTGGAGTTCCTACGGGGGGTGGGGGTGGGGGAAGAGGGCAGGGCGAAGTGGGAGCTGGTGGTGGTGGGAGAGGGCAGGGCAGAGCAAAGGGTCCTGATCCCCAAATGCCTTCCCTTGGGAGGCCCTCTGAGGGATGGAGAAACTGAGGCCTAGAAATGGCACTATTTGGCCATCAGCGAGGCAGCAGTAGAACCTACACATCAGCCACTCACTCCAGTGCAGCCAGCATCCACCTGCCCCAGAAAGGTATGACAAGACTCAAGACCTGCTCTCTCCAGATTGCCTGAAGGAGGGTCTTCACTTGTCCTCTGTCCATAGGGCAACTCTTCAGCACACTCTAGGCAGCATCCAAGAAGTAAGGTGGTCCTCTTGGAGCTCCCTCAAATCTGGAATTCCCTTGGTCACATGGAAGGGGGAGAAGCAGCTCCCAGGAGTAACCATGGCTATCCTGGGAGCTGGGAGTCTCTTGGAAATCCAGGAGACTCCTACACTACCTTCTCACCACTTTGTGTCTGTTGTTGCTGTGGTCCAGAATGGAGGTGGCATCCACCTTGCCCACTCTAGAGTGTCTCTAGCTCTTTCCCCTGAGACCCTCCCCTTTGTACACACTGGCCAAAATGGCCTCTCTGTTATTTGAACACATCTGTGTTTTTCTGCCCCTGGGCCTTTGCACTGTGCTTGGAACTGGATTGTAAGCACTATAGGGCAGAGACTGTGTTTGGTTTTGTTTGGCTCTATATCCCCAAGCATTTAACCTGGTAAACGATAGACAATGTCAGCTCTAATAGGTCTTAATAAATAATTCTCGAATAAATGTACCCAGTGCTTTTCTATTGACTTGTTTAATTACAACAGCTATGTGAGGTAGGAACTATCATTAGCTCCCTTTTATAGAAAAGAAAACAGGAACTCAGAGAGGTTAGGCCATTTGTTGAAGTCCCCACGGCTACGATTAGAACCACAGAGGGAGGCATTTTTCACCTCTCTTTGGGGTATCGGGGTACCGGAGTGAGGTGCTTCCAGATTCTAGATGCTTGTGGGCCTCTTAGAGCAGGAGGCATTGGGCCTGGGCTGCAAAGTTAGCAAGACATGGGGCTGCAAAAGCCCTAAGAGAGCATTTCAGATGTAAGGAACAGCAATAAGCAAAGATGTGGACGCAGGAAGATCCAGCTCCTGGAACTACCCAACTGAGATGGCTGGACCAGCCCAGGACACACAGCCAGTTGTGTCCCAGGATACAGTTTGCTGTGGGTCGTCAGAGGCAGGACCCCCTGGGCAAGGAGTCACTTAGCCCTCCCTCTCCCCAGGCTGTGGGCTGGGAGCCCCCTGGGACTCGGGCTGGGCGCTCCCACGCCCCTCTGAGGCAGGACGTTCCCACGCAGGGGCGGCCCTGGGAAAGTCTGTGGGGCGGGCTCTGGGGAGGGCGCCCGCGCTCCAGTCCCTCTGCTGCCCATTCTCCCAATCCTCACTCGGCCAACCCTGCTCTCGCTCTTGCTGCAGCAGAGCCGCGAGGTAAGTGGGTGGGAGAGCCCACTTTCCCTAGCTGGGGCTGGTGGGGGTTGCGCCTTGGATTCCTGACCATGTAGTTCCTGCCACAGAGGAGGGTTGCGGGACCTTCTGGCAGCTCAGAGTTGAGGACCCCTAGAGAATTATCCTCTGTCCGCAAATGGGGCGCCATCTCTTTCCCCAAATGTGGACTGTTTCTTCTGTCTCCTGCGCACTTATCACTGATGGGAAGCCCTCCATTCCAAGATGTGGGGGTGCCCTCTCACTTACCACCTATTGTATGTGTTCTTCCTAATTATTGGGTGCCCCTTTCTCCAAATGTGTGTGTGTGGCGGCGGGGGGTGGGGGGAGTCTTTCTCTGTCCAGAAGAAGTGGGATATCCGTTTACCTTCCCCAGATGTGTGCTCCTCTTCCTCCCTCTGACTCAGTTTGGTCCTTGTCCTTTGCTAAGGTCCTCCCCACCCCCATAGAATGCCTGACTCTGAGGCTGCCCAGCCCCCATGGGGGGTTGGGCTCATCCTGTCCTCCTCCCCCACTAGATCCAGCAGAGCAGGCTCTCTGTGCACGTAGGCCGCCAATTAGTGGGGAAGGGGTGGGGGCCAGAGGAGCTGGCAGAGCTATGGCAGATGGCCTTGTCGGGGGAAGAGAGGGAGCCCCAGGACCTGCTCCCTCCCTACCTAGACTCTCACCCCATTTCTTCTGGGAGGCAAACAACAGAGGGAGGTTTCTCAGCCTGGCCAGGATGAGCTGGGGCAGGAAGCAGAACCCAGACCCCCATCCCCAAACTGTTCAGATCCTGCCTTAAGAATTAGGCACCCTCCCACTTCTCAGATGGTGAATGGAGGTCCTAGAAGGGGTCTCCAAATGTCTAGAATCCCCATCTATCCTTATAGGGATAGCAGATAAAATTAGAAGAGTCAGGGGCCTGTGAGTGACCTTGAAATTCTAGAATCTCACCACCACCACACCCATGAAAATGAGTCTCTGTCTGGACCCTGAATGAGTAGGGGCAGAAGGCAATGCAGGTGCAGGACTTATCCCCACACACACCCCCCAGATGTTCTTCAGAGCTGCCTGGAGCTTGGTGCTGAGGAAAGGAAGACTAGGAGTGCGAGGGATACACAGCCCAGAAGGCACCGGTAAGACCTGGATCCACACCCTGCTCCCTTGCCAAACTCCAAGGCTAGGGACAGGAGTCTTGTCTGGAGTCTGCCCCTTGTCCCTTTCTTGCTGCCCTTGGCCTACCCCAAAACCGTTTCCTACAATCTTACTCCTTGGCTCTGGGTCACAGTCCTCCAGGAAATGGAGCTCCAAGGGTGAGCAGACAGCAGCCCCCTCCATCCAAGCTTCTCTGGGGCCTGGCTCCCAAACCTCAGGCCCCTAAGGCCTTGTGTTCTAAGGTGGAGGGTGCTCACAGAACCTTGGACCTTTCCAGACCTTGGTGGCAGTGCTAGCCAGAAGAAAGAGGCCCAAAGCAGGAGAGACTTCAGCCAGATAGCAGAAGGGCCTTCCTGACCCTCGGGAGAATAATAACAGATAACATTTCTTGAGCCTTTACTACATACCCCAAGCTGTGGTAAACATGAACACATTTAGACTTTATGGCAGCCATGTGAAGTTGATGTTGTGCTGTTATCTCCATTTGTCAGATGAACAAACTGAGAAACAGATATCTAGATATTAAAAGAGCTAAGACTACTTGCCCAAAGCAGTTCCAGTGCTATCCTGGCGAGATGGTACTAATAGCCTCTTTGTAGACATCTCTGGCAACAATAAACAGAAGAAGCTTTATCAAGACCCTCCTAGTGCTTGGCTTTATTCTGGGTACCCACACAGAGCCCTTGAGGGCTTAGCCATCAGAGAAAGTGTCCAGGAATGGAAGCCAGTAAACCAATCTATTTATCAATATAATTCACGGAGCATTTACTATGTGCCAGTAGAAGCACAGTGAGGTAAAAGGGGTGAGGAGAAACTGGGGTTCAATCCCAGCCGACTCCCAAGCCGTGCCCTTGACCCCTACAGTTTGCAGAACAGTTTCACACATGTCATGTCAGGCTTATCTCATTGAGCCTTTGCCCACCCCATTGCCTCTGCCTGACATGCCCTCCCCACCTCAGATCCCAGAGAACATGAGATTTGAAGCCATAGTGCAGCCCTGGCCCTGGTCCTTCTTGCTCTGTGAATTTCAGCAACTCACTTAGCTGCTCAGTTTCTTCATCTATAAAATGGAGATAACAGAATCACCTGGCTCAGCGTGATGCGGAGTAAATGAATCAACTCACCCGAAGGCCTTAGAATGGCTCCTGGCACAGTAAGGGCTCAACGAATGCAGCCCTCTCTATTAATATGATTAGTGCTGGGATGTCCTTGGGAAAGCCTGAATTTAGTTCCTCCCTTGTGCCTGCAGCCCACAGCAAGGGGAAGATGCCCCCCTATACCAACTACCATGCCCAGCGCTCCTACCCCATGCCAGACGAGCCCTTCTGCACAGACCTCAACGCCGAGCAGCGAGCTCTGAAGGAAAAGGAGAAGGGCAGCTGGACCCAGCTGAGCCAAGCCGAGAAGGTGGCCTGTAGGTCTCAGAGCGGGGCTGGCCAGGGAGAGTGGGCTGGGGTGACTTTGCAAAGAAGGTCCTGTCAGGCAGCAGTGGGCAGTGAGAGCCCCCATTCAAGACAGCCAGAAAACCCCAAACACCTGAATACACACCTGAGGGGAGAAGTTCACTCATTTCTTCACTTATTCTTTTATTCACTCAACTATTTGTGTACAGCCTAATGCGAGGCGATGCTGGAGACACAGGAGTGAATCACCCAGATGGTTCCTGCCATTAGGGTGCTCCCAGTCCAGTGAGGGAACTGGCACAAACCTAAATACTGTAATACAGGATATGTGACTAGGGCAAGGTGTGTTCAGGAAGCTGTGAGGACCCAAAGGAGAGAGAAATGGAATCCTGGAAGGCTTTCAAGAGGAGGGTACATTGCAACTGGCCCTGAATAGTGAGGAGGAGGGTGCTGCTAGATAGTGGGAACGGCATGGGGAGAGATATGGGAGCAGAGGAGCATGGAGGGTTTAGGCATCACTGAGTGGTGTGAGGGGACAGAGAGAGGCAGGTGAGGTGGGCGGAGGAGTAGAGGCCTGAGCCTGGGAAGCGGGAGGGATGTGTGACCCCCAGTGCCCACCACCAGCAGTGCCCCGGCCTGACTCTGATAGTTGTAAACTTGACACCAGCCCCTGGCCGCGCTTTGGATACAGTAGATATTCAATAGGAATTTGCCAAATGAACAGCATCTGCTACAGGGAGGGGAAAACTGGAGGTCCCTGAGACCAAGAGTTGGTCCCGGGTCTTTGGAATGGCTACAGCTGAGGCCCCTGCCTCCTCACCCCTCATTTGTCCCCAGTGTACCGACTCCAGTTTCATGAGACTTTTGCAGAGATGAACCGTCACTCCAACGAGTGGAAGACAGTGATGGGTGGTGTCTTCTTCTTCTGTGGATTCACAGCTCTGCTTATTTGGTGGCAGCGGGTCTACGGTACGTGGCAATGCCTCACCTGGCTGCAGCCCTGGGCCATGCCCTTATGGCCACAGCCACCAGCCAAGGGAACTATGCTGGTACTCATCCGGAGTTTTGAAAAGTCCCCCAGAAAGATGTAGGGTGAAGGGCAAAGCATGGCTGCCTGGGTGGGAATAGAGGGACTTTCCCCCTCTGGGCCTCAATTCTCTCATCTAAAAAATGGGATTAACAGTGCCCACATCTCAGGGCTCTTGTGAGGTTTTAATGAGAGAGAGCTATAGGCCAGTGCCTGACACATAGTCATGAGGTATTGTTACTGACTGCTGTTATTAACCATGAATTTTTTCAGTGTATTGTTTCAGTTGCTTTAACAAAGAGTCCCCAACATACAAGAGCTTAAACAAATAGAGGCTTTGTTCTTCTCTCACAAAAAAGGCCAGGGTACTCCACAATGTCAGGCTCCTTCCGTCTTGTTGCTCTGCCGTCCTTAACATGCGGGTTTCTTCTTGACGTACAAGATGGCTGCTCCAGCTCCGGCCATAAAGCCTACATTCCCAAGAGAGGGAAAGGGAGGACACGCTCCTCTTTAAGATCCAGAAATTGTACGCACCACTTCTGCTCACATTCTAATGACTAGAAATGATTACCTGACTATGTCTAGCCACAAGGGAAGCTGGGAAATGCGTGGTCCCTGGACCAACAGCTTCACTTGACTTCACCTCAATTGGCCTCGCCTTGCTTCTTCTGTAAACGTGTGATGGGAATTCCTACCTTGCATGAGGATGAAATGAGAGAGCCTTTGGGAAAAATTCTAGTCTAGCCTGATGTCTGGTACTAATAACTACCCATAAAGATCTTTTCTTTCTTGTCCACCCACTAGGATAGAAAGTACCAGGGGCGGAGGTCAAGCGGGCTGAGTCAGCCTCAGGGTCAGATGGACCAGAAAGTAGGATGTGAGCAGTGTCTGTGCTCTGGCCCCCAGGCCTTCCCTGATCCACACACGAAGGCACCTAAAATGCCTCTTGGCTCCAGCCTTTGGGTTAAGTATCACTCTCCCCAGGTTTTTGAAGTGAATACCCCTACCCTATCTCCTTCTATCAATCCTCTTAGGAAGCAAAAGAAATGATCTCATCCCGGACCCTTCCCAATAAGTGGGAACAAACTCAGTAATTATAATTATAGTAGCTAGCATGTATTAGGGGCTTAATATATATCCCACGTTGTGTCACTTGCTTTATAAATACTAATTCATTCAATCCCAACCCTAGGGGATAGGACCTGTTTTTGATGGGTAAGGAAACTGAGACTCAGAGAGATAAAGCGACTGGTTCAAGATCACACAGCAAGGGAGTGGTCAAGCTGGGATTTGGATCCAGACTGACTTCAAATCAGTACTCTGGTTACCGTTGGGCCACAGATAGGCAAGGAAACTGAAGCTCAGAAAAGGGAAGGACCTTGGGCCAGTTCCCACTGTGAGTCTAAGGCAGAGCTGGGGTCAGAACACAGAGGTCGCTGAAGTGAAGCTTTAGGAGGGAGGCTGGTAGGGGAGATTGGCAGGGTAGAAGCAGCTCGTCAGTGCAGGCACTCTAACCCTGTGAATGGAGAACCTGGCTCAGCGGGCGACGGTGGGCCTGTTAGGGTCCCGAGCTGCCCCTGTCTCTACCCCACACCTTCCCTGCAGTGTTTCCTAAGAAGCCTGTCACTCTGACGGATGAGTGGAAGGCCCAGCAGCTCCAGCGCATCCTGGATATGAAGGGCAACCCGGTGCAAGGCCTGGCCTCCCAGTGGGACTATGAAAAGAAGGAGTGGAAGAAATGACACTGCACCCCGCATTCCAGGCTGATCTCCCGGCAGCTCCACCCTGGTCCGGAGTCTACGGAGCATCCCACTCCCCTCTCCTTCACCCCAATAAAGCTGGCCTGTTCTCTTCTGCCTTTAATCTCCATTTCAGTCTTTACCTGCCATAAAGTCTACATTATACCTACAAATAGGCAGTATAGTAGGTGAGGGGCAAAAATAAACCACTTTCCAGGGGTTCAGGGCTCAGATCTCAGCTTGTCAGAGAGGGCTTCCTGGAGGAGTAGGGGCTCAGGCTGAGTCTTAAAGGGTAGGTGGGATTAGGAAAGGCAGGAAGGAGAAGGGAAGGCATTCTAGGTAAAAGGAACAGCTTGAGCAAAGGCAAGGACACTTCTTTATTCAGTCGATTAACAAATACTTATTGAGTGTCTACTGTGTGCCAGGTATACTAATCCAGGCCCTGGGGATGCAGCAGTGAACAAGGCAGACAGTCTCTGGCCTCATTGAGGAGACATTTCTTTATGAAGGGAGAAAGAAAAATGAATAAGTAAATATACTATATAGTATATTACATGGTACTAAGTGCTATGAAGAAACAAAACAGCAGAAAAAAGACACAGTTACAAGGTGATTGGGGGTGTTAGATGAAGGCTTCTTAGGCGGCATTTAAGAGATGTGAATGAAATGAGGAAAGAAGCCTTGTATCAAAGACAGAGCAGCAAGTGCAAAGACCCTTAGGTGAGATTCTTGTTTGTATGTCTGTGGGACTTCAAAGAAGCTACAGGGAGTGACTGGAGTGGAATTTTTTGGAGAGTAGTAGGAAGGTGTGTGTTGGGGGAACAGGTTGGTCTTGGGGTGAAAAGCAGATTATGTAAGGCCTCATGGGGCTTTATTCTAAGTGTGATGGGAAGTTTATCGGTCTGGGTCATCTGAGAAGCAAATGCCAAGAAGTAATTAAAGAGCTGAGATTTGTTGAGGGTAATGCCTGTGACGGATACAGGAGAGAGGGAGCAGGTGGTGAGAACCTTTAGACTGCGATGCAGACCTGACCCTTGTGGAAGCAGAGAGGAAAGGGCGGATTGGGTAGGAAGAGCCTTTGACCATTGATAGTACTGTATCTGTATAAGTCCAACCAGAAGCCAGAAACCACATAGTAATTTAACAAGGGCTGTTTAATACAAAGTATTACTAAGCTTACACAAGAGAGTAAAGATATGAAGATAACTTTAAAGGGTATCCCAAGGAGCATGCCCAAGAAAGCACAAATTCGGAAGGGGGATGCCTTCCCCAAGCTGGGATTCAGACCTCATTGGAGTTGTAGTTGAAGATCACTCTGAATGGCAGAGAATTTTCCTCAGTTGCCTGACCCACAGCCAGTCCATAGTCACTGGGTAAGCAAGGTTTGAAGTCCTCAGAGGCCCAAGAGAGCTGAGGCTAGTGGGCGGGGGGAATGGATTGGGGCCCCTTTGCAGATTAGAGGCCCAGAGTCTGTGGTACCTGCATTAGAAAGGTGGCAAGAAGATGGTCCCCAGGCTGGGGGGCTACAAGTTTGCTGATGGACTGTAAACATTGGGCTCCTGGCTGTGGCAGATCATTACCAGATGTCTTCACAAACTCCTGACCAAGCACACAGCAGGAGCAAGATCACACACACACACACACACACACACACACACACACACACACACACACGCAGTACTAGAACCAGAAAGAGAAGCCTTTTTCCCTTTGAAATGTCCCCTCCAGCACCCTCTGCTGGCAGAGTTTAGCATGTCACTGTAAAGGAAGCAATGCTATTAAAACCACAATAGAAAGAGAAGCCTTTTTCCCCTTGAAATGTCCCCTTCAGCACCCTCTGCTGGCAGAGTTTAGCATCTCACTGTAAAGGAAGCAATGCTATTAAAACCACAATGAGATATTACCTCACACCTGTCAGAATGGCTATCATCAATAAATAAAAAAACAGCAAGTGTTGGCGAGGATGTGGAGAAA